TCACCAGCCAACTTTGCTGGCTGAGGAATTCTGGGAGTTGAAGTCCTCCAGGCTTAAAGTTGCCAAGGTTGGAGACCCCTGATCTATAGTGTGAATAAATAATGCTACCCTTACAATAAACGGTGCAACCACAAAATAATTTTATTCTAAGCAAAGAATTAAACAGGAATGGATTCAGTGAGGGCTAGAATTTGAATTTGCTATAAATGTTAGCAAAACCTGTTTCCGTATACATACTTTTTTTTCCCCATTTGTTATTGCTCCCGCTTAGTGCAGGTTTTTAATATGTATTGTGCTGATTTTTTCCCCAGGTAAATTCATGAACATTTTGAAGCAATATTACTTGCTAGAAGATATTAAAGGTATGAGAGCCCTTTTTAATTCTTGTAAACAAAATCAGTTTTGTGGTATGAAGAGGTTGATTGCTGTATCCAGTTAGAGGTGTAGTTACTATACATAATTTCCCCATTTATTTAACTAATTCTATGAAACCTGTATTCATAGACTAGGGTGGATTTGATTTAAATCACTAATAAGGCTTGATTTAAATTAACTTGATTTGAATATTTTTCGAAGAACAACTGTAATCTCCTGCCCACGTTGACTCCTCCTCTGACCTGCTGTTGACTCACCAACAGTCCCAATATAGCAGAATATATAGCCTCATGTTACATAACTAAGCTCCATTCCATGCTGAAAACTATATTTTGATAGATTTTTACTCCAAAAGCATTTTATTAAAATAAATGTGATAAAAATAATCTGATTTAGATTAAAAAATGATTTTTTTATTTTTTTTTATTTTTTTTAAACCATCAATTTTTATCCACCCTTTCATAGACACACTAAATCATGGTTTACTTTGATTTATTAAATAACCCATTATTGACTTGCTTGGGTAAAAATGTAAATGCTAAATCAGGGTACAATAATTACTTTACGCATTATGCTAAGCCACAAAACCAGAAGCCACTTTTGAGTGTTGAATGAGTGAGTGTGTAACTAAGTAATGGTGCAGGGGTGTATTAGGAAAATTAGTTATTGAGCCTAATCACCCATGTAAAACCTGTCTGATGGGGCTAGGTTTATAAATTACATTAGCTCCCCACTTATTTAACTACTTCGTTGAACAACCCAAGTTGGCCTAGTTCATACCCAACCTTTTAATACTCCAGCTATTGTAAATGTGATCACTCCCAATAAGCTGCATGTGCCCTCCCTGTGGTTATTTTTAACTCAATAATTTTGTACAATCTCTAAAGGAAACTTTTTCAGTTTGTTATTATTGTATAGCCATAGAAACTGGTTACAGATGCGATAAGCACAGTAATGCTATTCTACCAGTTCAGCCCAGTTCTGGCGTACAAGTAGCACCAAAGATCAACTGAGACCAAACCGATTTCTCTATGATGAGCTGCTGTTGGGACCACCCGTCTGCTCTGGCTCCCATACTGACCTTTATTCCCTGCTTTTGAAGCGCAGCTGCTTTGCGTGGCACAGATTGCCACGCGTCAGCTGTTGAAGCTACAGGGTTTGCAGGAGGCGAGTAGGAAAGCCCCTGTGCGTGTGCAAAGTGTGCCCACCAAACCAAGCCCACTGAACCGGTGGTAAACCTCTTTGAAACCCACCACTGGATAAGTACCATATTGAGCCTGCACTACTCTGTATTCCATAATTCGCAATCCACAATGAACGAATTCATTGCTCTACTAAGAAGAAACCATATCGTGACTTAGCAAAATGTATGAACTAAGCTTATGTTTTGAGGATTTAGTAGATGCCTTTTTATGTCATTGTCCACTGATTGATTGTTGTACATTAAAACAGATGAATATTTTAATATTTCATATGGCATTCTGCAAAGCTGAGACAACCAGGTGATCTACTAAAGCTGCCACTGGACAATTTGTTTAGATTACATCATGTTGTTGATAAAGTGTATATGTGATTTCTAGGGAAGGCATCCTCAGGATCTTCATGGGAGACAATGTAATCATATCCAGAGTTTCCACACAATGTATTTTCTTTTGTTTAATAATATTTGATTCTTGGAGATGCTGGGACAAAGCCTGCTGTTTTAGCAAGGTTTTTCCAAAATAGTTTACCACTGTGTCCTTCCTAGGACTGAGATAAAAAGACTTACCCAGTTGGCTTTGTCCCCAAAAAAGAACTAGAACTCATAATCTCCTGATTTCTAACCCGATACCTTCTATGCCAGACTGATTCTCATGAATGTACCAAATGTTTAAAGTAGATCAGAAAATAGCTTTTTAAAAATATGAGATAAATGTAAAGGACTGAGAAATTTGCATAACTAGCTATGGTATTTTCTGGAGAAAACTGAACTATTAAAATACAATTCCCTTGGAAATTTTACCTACTTATCTACCTCCCCCATATTCCCTGAATTACTGCTTTGGCAAATATAATTGTTATAATCATTATTTACAATTGTTTAAGCATTGGATACTTTCCGTATGCAGCTGTAAACAAAATTGCAGAACCAATATTAGGATTTACTTCAGTTTTTTTTAATAATTGAATATCTTCCCATCAGAGTTATATAATGAAGTATTATTTTTTTGAAAGTTAAACGGAAATGTGTGTAAGTCTATATGTAATCTATTATCATTGTAACTTTAAATGTCTAATAGATAATTTCAATGTAATTTGTTTGGAGATAGCAGTTGGCATCGAGAAACTTCAATCTGTACTAATACATATCCTTTTTGCAGTTTGTTCTGGAATTTCCTTGTCCAATTGAATAGAATCCACCGGGCTGCTTTTAGTTTCCATTTGCTCATCCAATTCCCTTTCAGAATGCTTTGTTTTTTTCAAATTTGGTTGTTCAATGCGTCCTCTGCGCACAAAATGACTGATACGAGATTCTAGACCTTCACATTTGGGCCGATCCATTAATGGTTTGTAATTGCGGGCTTTCACTCCCTCGATTAAAGCACTAATATGGTTGTGGACTGGTGGCGATACCTCTCTCCAGAGTATTGTTGTGCTGTTGCTTGAAGCTGTAATCAACCATTATCATCAGAACAAAAAAAAAACCAGCATTTAATTTCCTAATTGCTTCTGATCTTTGAAGTAGTTCTAAATATATTGGAACTTGTTAGAATCACTCTATCCAACAATATAGTTTTAATATATTGCTGGGTATATTAAACAAAAAATGGTTCTTTAAAAACAAAATGCTCATTAAATATGAAGAGAGTTGTACATGTATATAAAATAATAAAATTGAATTTTACAGATAGACCAAACTATACAGTATATCAGCAATCTACCACATGGTAAATTGAAGGTTTGTTTTAATACAATTTTTAAGAATATCATTCTTCCTACCTGGCTCTGTAGGTATCTTTGCAAAATCCAGGCCCCATAACATGCTGTAAAGCACCTGACTTTTAATGGCGTGGTTTGTCCAAAGCTGCTGAAAGCGTGTAACATTAAATTCCTGGACTTGATGATCATAGTTCCACTGGATGTTTTCAAACTCACAATCATATAAAACTAGAGGAAATTCCACTGCCATGCTGCAAAGTAATCAAATTAGTATAAATCAGGTAATTCCAACAGAGTGCACATAGCTTTGAAAATGTTATAGCTGTTGACAACAGATCAAAATTATAAAACATAATTTTAACAAGGGAAGCTCAAATATAGAGAGCCATTGACAATACAGTAAGATTGTGCATGCTTTCGGAAATTCCTACCTGTATTGTGGTTTCCTAGGATTGGTTTCTATATCAAACAGTTCATCAATAATCTCTGGCTTTTCCATCCTTTGTCCAATCAAGAAGAGAATGGCCATCATGCAGCGGACTTGGTGATAGAGGAATGCTTGGCCTGTTACTTCAAATGCATACAGTTGGAAAGGGTTTAGTTCTTCCACTTTCTTTTCTTGATCTGCAAGCTTCACTTCTGCAGTCAGGATTGTCCTCTGAAAGTTGGTCACACCATTGGCTACGTCCATTTTGCAGAGATTACGAAAATCATGGGTCCCTATAAATCTTTGAGCTGCTGTATTCATAAGAGCAACATCCAGATCAGCATGAGGGAAAAAATAGCGATAGGTCCTCTTCAGGCAACTAAATCTAGCACTGAAGCTAGGATCTACAGGGGCCCATGCCAATACTCTTATGTCAGGAGGAAGTACCTGATTCAAAATATGGGTGTAGCGGATCTCCTCTGAAATATGACTTTTACCTTCTGTGACAACCCCAGATTTATTGTCTGAAAGGTTTGACCGGAGATCCAAAGAGATCACCTGAAAATTGCAAAAAAGTTGTGATTCTAGAATTAGGCAAACATTTATTTTCTATTGAACTATCATTAACAATGCAGTGGTGAAGAGCTTCCAGCTAACTGGCTCTGGTATAATTTTTTGGTTGGGATTGCAATAGAATGAATTTTAATTTCATACCACAGATTCTGACATTGAGTGGACCACATTTCCATGACAATTTACGTCATGATATATTTTTGTCTAAATGACATTACTATAATTTCTTTTTCAGCCACTGGCATTCAGGATCAAACCAAACATTAGTGTAATTGAAATGACATTTCACAAATAATGTCCTTTTGGATTTAATAAATGTTAGTTTGCATTTAGCAAACATTTATGTATAACAACATTTTCCCACAGTCCATTAAAGCATTTTACTGCATAAAGGTTTTGGAATAGTTTTTCCTGGGAATTCTTCATTTCACTTGCTTTGATTAAAATTATTTTTGTTTCTTGTAGTAATAGATCTTTTCTAAATAGCTAAATCTTTTTTTGCAGAAATAGCTTGTCATCAGTTGCAGATCGATTCTCAGGCTCATCTTCTAATTTTATAATGGATGCACTCTTAGCTGACTCTTTACAAATGTTATAATTTAAACCATTGTAATGCATTAATAATAAATCAGTAGTTTTTGTTCTTATGTTCAGCGTTTTCTAACTGTTCAGTTGTCATGCTATATAGCAAACTGAGTTGTAACTTGATTGTGCAATTGACTAAATATCAGCTTAAACTAAATGATGGGCAACAGCCCAAATCTAACAAAGCACTTTAAATTATATGGGTTATAGTAAGTCTAATTAGTCTATGATGGCAAAAAAAAAAATCAATCAGGATTCTGAAAGCTTAATATCTAAAAATGTCATTAACAGTCGTAAGTTTCTATCAGGTGAATATGATCAAATGACCTGTATCTCACAAAAGCTTGTCTTAATATTTATTAGTTTAGCACAATCAACTGACATAGCCTTTTAAACCGTTCGGGGGGGATTATTAGTTGCAATAACACAGATTCTTTGTGCCACCCCATCCTCATTTTAGTGTAAATTAAATATTAGACTTACTTGTCCAAATGCACTGACTCCCTTGTCTGTACGTCCACAGCGATGATAGTTAGAAGTCTGTCTGTTGACTACCAACCGAGTTTTTCCCAGAGCTTCAAACAGTTTCTCTTCTATTGTATTGTTGGTGTTCTCCTGGCTGGCAAAGCCCTGATATTCCCACCCTAGGTAGGCAATCTTGAGTGCCACGTGCCTCTGGCCATACGCACTGAAATTGAATGGCCGCTGTGGACGTTTCTTCCCCTTTCCTGATGCTGGGACGCCATTCCCCTCGCCTGGGCCTTTTCTGTTTTCCAAGAGCCTGCCTTCTAGCCTTTGCACCGTCTCTTCCAGCTCCTGGATTCTCTTCAGTAGCCTTTCTGTTTCTTCTGTGCCTTTGGCCATTGGTAGAATGCTATTTTAAAAAAAGAATCTGGCAATATGAAAATGCAATAATAGTAGAAAAGGAATAACCAAACAAATGCAATCTGTATTTGCTACTAGAAGCTACTCAGCTGGAGAAAATTAACTAGCTTGCTTGCCAACTGTTTCTGCGGAGAATGCTTGTTGGGATTTCATGAATTTCATTACTGAGAACTGAGTGTCTGCTTTTGTTCACTTACAGAAGAATCTGTTTTAAACCACCTTTATACTAGGATCCTCCATTTCCAAGCTGGCTAAAGAGGAGCAAAAGGAACCTTTTCCAGGTATGTATACTGATACATGAACAAATTAACCCCTGGCATACTGATAGATAGTATTATTTATTCAAAGACATCCAGACCATGCCTTTGATTAAGCAATGCCATTTATCGGGACTCCCAAAAGAATTCCTTCTACGGCATGGTGTTCTGGAATGAGTCCGAGGGGCTCCAATCCTGATGGCATTCCAGAGAGCCTTAAAGACCTGATCCTTCTCCCAGTCATGGGCTAGACTGGTGAGTATATGATAATGCTTATCTTCTTGGCTAGTTCTGCCATCTTGTTATTGTTGTCCTTTTCCTATATTTGTTATTATTATATTGTGAACTCCCAGAGTTGATTGAAGTCAGGCAGCATGAGATTTTTTAAAGCTGTTCTAAGTTGTTAAGGGAGGTGTTGCTTAAAAAGAAAAGGAAAACAAAACAAAAAAACCCAAATTGATTGAAAGTGCATTATTTTGCTATCATTATTTAGAAAATAGGTAGGTATTGCAAAGTCACAAGTTATTTTAAAGGAAAACTGAAATTCCGATAATTACTGAATTTGCAGCGGGGGGGGGGGAGGACTTAAACAGCACTGACAAATAAATAACAAGTACAGTACTATTGTACATTCCTTCTTAGACCTACATATGCCTTCAGAAATAAACTCCATCCTTGCTGTTTAGAATAATTGCAGACACTTATCAAGCTGTTGGGAGCTACTACACCCCACTTACTTGCCCAGTCTAGGCACATAGACTTCTTGCTTTGTGACCCTGAGGTCTACCCTCCCACCTCAAAAAGAAAAAAAAACCAAACCCCCAAATCATCTCTAGGAGAGGAAGGGATTGGGGTGAATATGCCTTTGCTGAAAAAGTTGGGTTTGGGATGTGCAGTAGATGTGTTTCAGTCTATGTGGCCAGAGGAGCTGGGGAGGGGCAGCCTTCACAATGTGGCACAAAGGATGGAGTTTTCCAAACAAATAAGTTGACCTGATAGAGATGGAGTTGATAAATAAGTATGAGTTGTAAGGCATTTATGACTTAGCAGACCACAAACCTAGCTTGGTATCTTTTTTCCAGAATTCATAACTACCCCAATTGAGAGAAGCAATGCAAGCCTTGATGCAACCCAACCGATACAGATGGAACTCTATGAACAGGGAAGAACGGCTCAAAGAAGCTGCCATGGACTTTATTCGCATGTGTGCAGAACAGGGTGATGGTGATAGCCCAAGACAGCTTCAAATGGCCCCTCAACTGGACCCCTACCCGAGAGCCTCAGTGGCCTCAGTGGCCAGACCTATGCTTCCTGCAATGATCAGGCAAGGTCAGACTGAATCCAGCTTCCAGTCAGACAACCTCAAGAATTCCAGAGTTTCAAAGAAACCTGTGATGAAAAGGAAAGTTCTGAGGCGAACACCTGACGGAGAAGTGCAGGTGACAGATGAATCTATCACTAGTGAGACAGAATCCAGTAATCCAAGTGTTCAACAATCCAGTCCTGAATGTGAGAATTTAAATCAGAGAATGAATCTTCAGGAGGAGGAGGAACAGTGTAATGAGGAGAACCAGCCCCAAAGTTCCCCTGGGTCAGTCTGTTCCTGGAGTCCTTCAGAGGAAAGCCAGAATCAGTGTTCCAGAAGAGAGAGCCAGAGCCTCAGCTCTTCGTCCTTTGAGCAAGACTTCATCCTAACTGGCCACCCCAAGTCTTTCATATTACCAAAGTTGGAGCAGCTCAATCGGAACAGAATGAAGACCGATCGGGTTGCCCGTTACCTGGAACACAAGCACGACTGGGAATCCCTGCGGCTTCCAGGAGAAGACCCCAGGAAAGGGGTGCGCTGGAGCATTCGGGAACAGATGCTCTACAAGTCAGAATTGCCTCCTAAGGCTCAGCCTGTTTATATCCCCAACACCTATCTGGTGCCTACAGAGAAGAAGAGATCTGCCCTGCGCTGGGGAATACGCTGTGACTTGGCAAACGGTGTGGTGCCTAGAAACATCTACTCCTAAGAACCTGGAATCTTTAAATGTCATACACAGAAGAACTTAGTAGATCCCAAAGAGCTAGCTACCTCAAATATGCAGCTAAGCTCCTTTTATTTCTTTCCAATTCCAAACCCTACCCATTTAATCTTAAGATCTATCTTGAATCTGAATGCCTATTTTCTTGCAAAAGATTTTTTAAAAGCTACGATTGTCTCAGATCATATTATTTGAATGTAAATATTACCTTATAAAAGGCAGGCAAAAAATGAATCAAAATCTACTGAAGTATAGTCAAGAAAAAGGATCCTTCCCCCACCCCAAGATACTTCACAAACATTCCCTCTTTGAACTTTTAAAAAGTTTTAACTTCTGGATGTATAGATTAAATTAAATTTATGAAGTGAAATGATGATTGTATTCTTTCCAAGGGTAAGCTTCAGTTCTTCTGCTTTTCATCATGCACTAGAGTTGCTGTTTGGAGCTATAGAAGTAAACTTTTCTCTGTGATGAGATTAACAGGTATACTTCCTTGTATATGAAAGTTCTGTTTTACAGATACATGTCCAGAATGCAGGATATTTTCTTCACTGATTTTTAGCAATATACTTCCCACACACAGACCTTTATCAAAATCAATCAGAATCTTATGAAAAATAATGTCATTTACTTACTGAAAAATACAAAGAATCTAGAAATAATAATTGAAATATCTGGGTTTAAAAAGACACGACAAAATTTCTAATAGGGATGTTTTGCAAACTTCAGATGAAAGGGGGAGGTAATTCAGATAATGAAGGGTCTTTGGTGCTCTCTGAGCTTGGTTGTTTTCTTGCAAGCATTTCATTACCCAAACCAGGTGTCCATCAGTGCTAGTGATGATATACCTAGCTTTGATAATGGAAAGTTTGCACGCAAAGGATCAAGGTTAGAACACCAAGAGCCCTTCATTTCATCCCCGAGCTGCTACAAATATTCTCCTTTGTTAATTCACATAACTATTAGCAAAACGTGGGTAAGCAAAACTGCTCCTTTCTACAAAGCGTACACTTTGCAGCATATGCCCCTCTGCGTGGATAGAATAACCACCTTCGTGCGCAACAAACTCGCACAAGTGGTACATTCCTTTATAAGGCCGTTAGCTGCGCTCGGTTGACTTCGCCCCTGCCAAGCCTGGCTCTTGAGTGCCCACGTGCTGGCTTTCCTTAAAAATTGCCAAGTTTGAGAAACGTTAAAATATGGGAACGCTCAGGGTGTTGGTCGAAGAAGCTGCTTTAAATCAGGGGTCACCAGCCAACTTTGCTGGCTGAGGAATTCTGGGAGTTGAAGTCCTCCAGGCTTAAAGTTGCCAAGGTTGGAGACCCCTGATTTAAATGACTCCCCCTCCCCACTTCCCAAGAGATCCTCTGGTGTCACCCCCACGATACCAGGAGCAAAGTGATCCCTCCGTCAATTCTGCAAAGCCGATCTTTCCCCACGCGAAGCGCCAGAGCCCGCTCCTTCCTCCGCGGGCTTTCCACACTCACGTGGGTAGGAGGCGAAGACCACCGAGGGCCGTTCCACAGGCAACTTCCATACAGGAAATGACGCGTCTTGCCCCTATCCAGAGCGGAGGTTTCTGGGAAGTGAAGTCTTTCGAGACCCCAGCGTGGCCTGCCGCAGAACGTCAAGAATTTTACGTCACCAGCATTTTCCCTCACCCAACCTAAATGGGCGTCCCTCTGCAATCTCTAGGCGCGTGGGGCGGGGCATATGAGGAGGACACCGAGGCCCCGCCCCTCTGCGATTTCCATAGCAATAGCGCGGTCGCTCCGCCCCATTCCAGCGGTTATAAATACTGAGCGGTGGCGCCATCGAGTCAGGCTTCGTCGTGTTTTAAGTGTTGTTGTTGGTCTGGTTGCGGCCTAGCTGCTGGGTCGCCCTCACGATGGAGGGCAAGATGTGGGCGAAGCCGAAGTACTTAGCGATGGGGCTTGGGGGGATGCCTAAGGGGCACCCCGGGCACGTGGAACCCAACGTAAGAGCCAGGCGAGGGACGGGGCTTCTGGCACCCCGGAGCCGCTCTCGGATCAGAGAGTTTCCTCTTCACACACACATACATACATCTGCGTCCTGAATAATGGTGGGGGAAATGAAAGATGATCTTTGCACATGCTCAGAGGCTCTTCTGTTGCTGCTCCCTGCTAGAGGGCTGAAAGCTGGTTAAAGGCAACCGACTGGATTAGGGCTAAATTCTGTTTTTTTTTTTCATAAAAAGTTTGCTTGCTGCTCAGCCTCAGTTGCTGGCAGGTATAGTGCCTCTGTCCAAGGGGGGGAGTGGGGGTTCAAATCACTTAAAAGTATGGATAAGTCTTTCTCATTCATTTATGGGTGTATAGCTTTTGTTCACCAAAGCATTCCCAGTGAGGATGATTCTTCCACTCTATATATTACTGGTTTTTTTGTCATTGCCTCTTCTACTTTATTCTGCCTTGCTCTGTGCGTAGCAATTCTTCTAAAACATAGCATTAATTTTAATTATGTTCTCCAGATTGATTACAGGTAGGCCTTGTTTAGCTTCGGCTTTGTTGAGCATCTGTTATGACTGTGATGAAAAAGTAACTTGAACCAATTCTTGCATTTATGACCTGTGCAGGCCTGTAAAGAAAAGCAGAAGTTTTTACAGTTTCATTTAGTGACTGCTTGCTTAAGAATGGAGCTGCTGGTCGTAATTAGGGTAGCTAAACCAAGACTGCCTATAATTCTTCTGCGGCTGATGCCTCTTAGGGCAAGTCACTCTTGCGTTGCTCTTCAAAATCTCTACTGGGGCCAATATGTCAACATCCTTGCTCATAAAAACCATAAATTGAATACAGTGCTAGAATAAGAAAAAGCATTAAAAACAATGCTCAATAAATCTAGTTTGAAAATAAAAGTCATTGGATGCGGTTTGGCTATAAAAGATGAGGCTCAAATTGCAAAACATATGAAGGGAGGATGATTAACTGTTTAAATTTATCAGCTGCCCAAGTCCAGTGGACAATGAATGAATGAATAAAAAAAAAAGGGTGTTCTCTGTTGTGATGTTTGTCTTCTAAAGCAATATTCCTGCAGAGATATGGCTCCAACTCTGATATTATAAAGCTCTTGGAATTAAGGTGAATAATAATGAAAAACCTGGCAGTTTTCTGGCATTGAGGGTAGAGTAAGCGCTGGGCCCTTATGGGAAGTTCTATAGAGTATTGGGTATATGGTTCCTACACTCCCTGACATACACAATATCTTTATTATATTGGCCTGCTTTTTAAAGTGTAAGCCACCCAGAGCTACTTGGAATTGGGTAGCCTCTGAACTGAAATAAACATCCAGAAAATGGTAGTTGGACGGAGTTGATCAAATCCTGAACAAAAAAGAGCGGAAAAGTTTAAAAACAAAAGGCAATGTGTGAGGCAAGATTTGTAGGACGGCATTGAGAGCTTTATAGTGTAATAAACTAGATTTGGCTGCATTTCTTTCTCTCTTTTGTCTCATTCCTTAATTCTTTAACTTTGCTGTCTTTGAATTATGCATAATGTTTTCCCAACCCCCAAGGAAATTGTGTGATAGGTATGTATTTATGGGCTAATGTTTATCTACTTTTTTTGTTATACTAATTGTTGTGTGGACAATTTTGTTTGTGAATATATTTTTTGAAAATATATATTCTACTATTCCAAAGTAGATGTGATCCAACATAACTTTTTTTTCCAGTCGCCCAAACCTTTTGGTCACCAAACTCATTAGTTTCCTACCAGGATTCTACTTCAATTTGCTCATTTTTTTTGTCTTTCAATATTTGAATTCTTCTTTGTCTGGTTCTTTCTGGTCATCTCTCACCAAGTGTCATGCCTGTTTCTCCACTGTTGGCATAAGTAGATATTTTTCTCTTTCCTCTGTTATGCACAGGTTGGTACTTTTCCAACCCCTTTGTCTCATTCGTACTTTTCTTGTATTTTAGTTGTGGTTTTCCTGTCTTTGTTTCCATTTTTGGGGGGGGCTTAGACGTATAGAACTTTCTCCTTTATTTACCCAATACCTCAACCACCACACACAGGGGTGGGATTCTACCAGTTTGTACCTATTCGCTAGAACTGGTTATTAATATTCTAAGCAGTTTGGAGAACTGGTTGTTAGAAGAAATTACTGACCTAATCCTGTAAGGAAGGAAACATTCAGGTGTTGCTTACAGAAACTGTCCATTAACCCTTATTACATTCTTGGCAGGACTAGACTTCCTGTCTCTGGATCTTCACTGAAGTTTTTTCCCCCTCCTTTGCTGGTACTTTGCTTGTGTGGAGTGACCATTTAAAGTTACAATGGCACTGAAAAAAGTGACTTATGACCATTTTTCACACTTACGACTTTTGCAGCATCCCCACAATCATGAGAGGCGAGGAGATGTGTGCCTCGATGTGAGTGATGTTGAGTTGGCCACACCCAGCTAATAACATGACCACCAAGCCATGTCCACCCAGTCACATGACCACCTACCACTTAAACCACACCCACAGAACCAGTTGTTAAAAAATATGAATCCCACCCCTGACCACACATGTCAGTTCCTTCTCTCTGTAGCATCCATGTACCATCCATCTACACTCATCTATTATCTGTCGCTCAGATTTGTTGAGAATAGTTTGGCATACAAGTTTAATTAAACTATTAGCTAACCATGATTAAATTACACTACAGCACATTGGTGTCAGATTGGTTGTGTAGAACTACTGCGTCTCAGATGGTTTGTTGTCTGCCTTTTGTGCTCACAGCTTTGCAGGCCAAGCTTCCCTGGAACATTTCTCCAACATCCTCAGCATTTCTCAGGGACAGGTAAGAGGTGAGCTTGGGTACTTACTGTTTAAAGACCACAGCAGCGCTGTTTCTTAAGCTGTGTGCCATAATATGCAATGTGAGAAATATTTGAATTGCTAAGTTATAAGATGTACATTGATAAATCATCAAACCAATATTTTCAAAGAATATTATTAGTCCCTTGCATATATTGGTATCAGAGGTGGTATTCAGCAGGTTCTGACCAGTTCTGGAGAACCGGTAGTGGAAATTTTGAATAGTTCAGAATCCCACCTCTGACTGGCTCCACCCCCATCTATTCTCTGCCTCCCGAGTCCCAGCTGATCAGCTGGGTCTTTTTTTGTTCCCCTGCACAGGAGAATGGAGCTGGAAAGCAGGTTAGGGGGGTGGGGAGAAAATGCAGGTTTTACAGTGTCCTTCCCCTGGAGTGGGGTGGGAATGGAGATTTTTCAGTATCCTTCCCCTGCCATGCCCACCAAGCCACGCCCACAGAACTGGTAGTAAAAAATTTTTAATCCCACCACTGATTGGTATGATGATAGCAATCCCCAGCCTTTTTTGGCATCATGGACCAGTTTTGGAAGAAAAATTGTCTTCCATGAAACCAGGGTGGTAGGGGGAAAGAAAATGGTTTCATGCGCAGATGAAGTTTCACTTGCTTGCTTGCCACTTGTGCAGCTTGGCTCCTGGCAGTCCACAGACCGCTACCGATCTGTAGCCCAGTGGTTAGGGACCACTGATCTTAAGTGATGTGAATTAATCTGATGAAATCTGGGGCTCTTTGCTTATTATTTACACCAGCAGTTCTGAACCTGTGGTCCGTGGACCCCTGAGTGTATTTGTGAGAGAGGCGGTCATGAGGTCTGCAAAGGCTTGAAGAAGTATTGTGATTTAAATCTTGAATTGGGTCTTGGTGGTCCAATGGCCACAAAAGGTATTTTGAACAGGAGCTCCGGTGAAGAAAATGTTGAGAACCACTGATTTTCACCATGAACAGAAACTCTACTGTATTAAAAAAAATTTTATTGATCTGCATTGTCCAGATTGGTGGGTCTCATCCTGTGGTCTGGGAACTATTGGTTGTCCATCCAAGTATTATAGATGGTTTTCTAATGTGGGTACCAGAAGATGTGTGTATATGTTTGTATAATTTCAAATGGCCCCTGTAAGTTAATTCCTACTATTTCTTTTTAACCCTGCAGAACCATAAATCTCTAAATTGGACTTGAAATGTTTCATCAATGTATTTAAGTTTTTTTAAAAAATAACATTGGCCAATCTAAAACTGTTTGGAAAATTCCTTTTAAGGATACATCGTAAGGAGGAACAATGTGATCATGGAGAGACAGGAGGAGAAGGATGATGACAGAGGTAAAGAATTATGGATGATGGGAAGATGTATTTAGCCCTAGCTATGGTTGAAATAGTATGCTGATGTCTGGACCCCTTCAGATTGTGGGCACTTTTCCTGGGAATCAAATATTCCTACATATTCTAAATTGCCTCACCCCTTCTGTTAAAATTGGCCACAAGTAGTCTGTCAGGGCTCCAACAAATCCACCCTCATTCAAAGCAAAAGTCTCTAGCCACATCTCAGAAAAAGTAAATTAGTTTATTAGAAATTGCCATGTTGGCGCATGGCTGCCTGCAGCTGATACTAAATCACATCATACATTTCCCCCTTGACCCTGGTCCTTCCCCCACCCCCCCCCTGGATGTGACTTCTCCAATAGGACACATCCGTCTCCAAGAGTGA